AAGGTAGTTAACATTTACCAATAATACTCTACCTTTATAACTCCATAAAACCAGATGTTGCTATGCACTAAAGCTGTCTCCAGTAGCTGGGTAACCCGTCACTCCAGCCGGACAACTGGTGCCCTTTTACCTTCAAATACCCAGAAGGAAAATCCAGAAATGGTGCAGGCTGTGAGAAGTCTGAGCCTAAAACCCTCTGAGCTATCATAGAATCAGAGAATGGTTTAGAGTTGGAAGGAACCTTAAAGATGATGATCTGTCCCTGCTGTGGGCAGGGACATCTCCCACCAGACCAGGTTGCTCAAAGCCCCATCCAGCCTGGCCTTGAACCCCTCCAGGGATGGGGCAGCCACAGCTTCTCTGGGCAACCTGTTCCAGTGCTTCACCACCCCCACACTAAAGAACTTCTTCCTGATATCTTATCTAAATCTCCCCTCTTTCAGTTTAAAACCATTACCACTCATCCTATTGCTACAAACCCTCATAAAGAGTCCATCTCTCCTGTAGGCCTCCTACAGGTACTGGATGGCTGCTACAAGGTGTCCCTGGAGCCTTCTCTTCTCCAGGCTGAAAATCCCCAACTCTCCAAGCCTGTCTTCATAGGAAAGATGCTCCATCCCTCTGATCATTTTCGTGGCCCTCCTCTGGACCTGTTCCAACAGGTCCATGTCCTTTCTGTGTTGAGGATTCCAAAGCTGGACAGAGTGCTCCAGGTGGGGTCTCACCAGAGCAGAGTAGAGGGGCAGAACCACCTGCCTTGACCTCCTGGCCACACTTCTTATGATGCAGCCAAGGATAGAGTTGGCTGTCTGGGCTGCCAGTGCACATTGCTGGCTCATGCTGAGCTTTTCATCCAACAACACCCCCAAGTCCTTCTCCTCGGGGCTGCTTTCAAGCCATTCTCTGCCTAGGATTGCCATGTCCCAGGTGGAGGACCTTGCACTTGGCCTGGTTGAACTTCATGAGTTTTGCACAGGCTTACTTCCCAAGCCTGTCCAGGTTCCTCTGGATGGGATCCCTCCCCTCCAGTGTGTTGACCACGCCACACAGCTTAGTGTCATCAGCAAACTTGCTGCTATCATACCTGGGTCTTCCTTTGGTAAAGGGAACAATCAGAAATCAACCATTCAGCTCCTACACTTCTGCTAATTGTCTCACTAAGACACAAAATTGCAACCCAGATCTGTTATGCTTCTTGAACAACAAGTCATTACATATAAACAAAGACACTGGCTCTAAAAGAAACTATGACCTAGGTTTTTCCCACTGTTTTCATAGAGGAACTACTCATGGCTGTTCTTTGCATAAGAAGATGAGCAGGGCAAAATACCTTGTCCACCAGAGCCAGCAGCTCTCCACAGATAGGCCAGATTTTTAGTATATTTTTTTCCCATAAATGAATCTGCTTTTTTCCATTAAAATACCTATAGTTTCTAAATAGCATGTTTCCACAGTAGAAATTTACACTATTTGTTTACTATATAAACTTATTACTATGTAATTATTATGCAATTAGAAACTTACAAAACTGAAGATCTTTTCTATCATGTACTGTCTTCCCTTAGCTAAAATATTTATCTTTATCTCACTTTTTTTTTTCATTAATTTATCACTTCACCACACATCCTTCATGTTTCACTCATAGCTTGTAATAGCTTCTAGTAAATTATGGCTCACAGAATCATAGAATTGTCTGGGTTGGAAGGGACCTTTATGATCATCTAGTGCAACCATCACCCTCACTATGACAAATGTCTGATGAAGATGGAAACAAGACCTATGAGACTTTTATCATTCCTAAGTATTTCCTCTAACTTCCGCCTTGGGCACTCAGCCATTGCATCCTACTATTAAATGCACATTTACCGAGCTGTTTTCTGATTCACTAAGAGGCTGAGAATTTGCTCTCTGGACTCTAAACACCATCAGTCCATTAAGCTATTTGCATGCTACTGATACAGCTGAGAAAGTAATAGCTCAGTGGCATAATATGGACCAGGAAAATTATATGATAGCTGAACTGGACAAGTCCACTGAAAACAAGAGACGTTCCTGCAGAGTGACACATAGAATCATAGAATCATCTAGGTTGGACGGGACCTTCAAGATCATCTAGTCCAACCATCAACCCAACTCTGACAAAAAAAACATCACTAAACCGTGTCCCCCAGCACCATGTCAACCCATCTTTTGAAAACCTCCAGGGATGACGCCTCAACCCCTTCCCTGGGCAGCCCATTCCAAGGCTTCATAACCCTTTCAGTGTAAACATTTTTTCTAATCTCCAATCTGAACCTCCCCTGGTGCAACTTGAGGCCATTTCCTCTTGTCCCATCACCTGTGAGTTGGGAGAAGAGACTGAGCCCCCCTGGCTACACCCTCCTTTCAGGGAGAGCGAGAAGGTCTCCCCTCAGACTCCTCCAGGCTGAACACCCCCAGCTGCCTCAGCCTCTCCTCATAAGACTTGTTCTCCAGACCCCTCAGCAGCTCTGTTGCCCTTCTCTGGACCTGCTCCAGCACCTCAATGTCTTTCATGTAGTGAGGGGCCCAAAACTGGACACAGCCCTTGAGGTAGGGCCTCACCAGTGCCGAGTACAGGGGGGATGATCACCTCCTGAGTCCTACTCCCCACACTATTCCTGACACAGGCCAGGATGCTGGTGGCCTTCTTGGCCACCTGGGCACACTGCTGGCTCCTGTTCAGCCGGCTGTCCACCAACACCCCCAGGGCCTTTTCTGCCAGGCAGCTCCAGCCACTCTGCCCCCAGCCTGGAGCACTGCAAGGAGTTGGTGTGACCCAAGGGCAGGACCCAGCACTTGGCCTTGTTGAACCTCATCCTCTTGGCCTTGGCCCATCCATCCAGCCTGTCCAGATCCTTCTGCAAAGCCTTTCTACCCTTCAGCAGGTCGACACTCCCACCCAACTTGGTGTCATCTGCAAACTCCATTCACCACCACTCTCTGGGCCCGGCCCTCCAGCCTGTTTTCTACCCAGTGGAGAGTCGTCCCATCCAAGCCATGAGCAGCCAGTTTCTCCAGGAGGATACTGTGGGAGACTGTATCAAAGGCCTTACTAAAGACCAGGTAAACAACATCCACAGCCTTTCCCTCATCCACTAAGCGAGTCACTCGGTCATAGAAGGAAATCAGGTTTGTCAAGCAGGACCTGCCCCTCATGAACCCGTGCTGGCTGGGCCTGATCACATGGGTGTCTTACATGTGCTGCATAAAATGGCACTCAGGATGATCTGTTCCATGACCTTCCCACGCACTGAGGTCAGACTGACAGGCCTGGAATTTCCTGGATCATTCTGCCAGCCCTTCTTGTGGATGGGCATCACATTTGCTAGACACCAGTCAGCTGGGACCTCCCCAGTTTGCCAGGACTGCTGGTAAATGATGGAGAGTGGCTCTGCAAGCACTTCCACCAGCTCCCTCAGTGCCCTCGGGTGGATCCCATCTGGCCCCATAGACCTGTTTATATCCAGACAGGTAGACTATAGTAGTTTGTATCATGACAGGTAGACTAAAACATAACACATAGTGAGCAAAAATGTTCATTATCTTCCCCATGGAATACTTCTACATCCGTATCATCAAACCATAAAAGACCTTTTATGGCCCCTCCATGATGCTCAGCCATTTCAGGGGATTTGTGTTAACTTTCCCTTGAAACTCTTTTCTCATTTAATTCTCTTTCCCAAGGTATTCTTAATTTTTGCCTGTCAACTGTATGATAGACAAATTTACAGGATGTAATTGATTTTATTTAGCTTAATTTCTATGGGTTTTTTTTTTTCTTCTCATAATTAATCGTTACAGCAATTCAGTTGCAGAGAGAAACAAAATCTGATATTTCTCTAAAACTAATAGAGGATAGTAAGTAGGAAGAAAAAGCATCTGTTGTTACATATGGAAGTAGACAAACAGTGAAAGATGTTTGATTAATAGTACTCAACACAAAGTAGGTTTCTTTCCCGAAGCTGATTTTTCAGCCATTTTGTGTTTAAGATATGAAATAAAGTACTTGATCATTTAGATCAATCTTTGGGCTAGTGTGGCCTAAAAGTATACTAAACACTGGAAGTGACAGACTGAGACCTAAGGATGTGTTGCTAATTGCTGTTACACTGTCAATTACAGTGCCAAGGCCAATGATCCATGGAAGCCCACTTGCCCCTAGATCAAAGGAACCTGTTGCTCTACCATTGCCTCCAACTGTAAAGGAACACAGGCTACATCAACGTCAGAAAAGAGCAGTGATAAAGATGACGGATGGAATTAGACTTCGTCTCTGATCAAGTTACAGATAAAAAAGATCATGTTAGTTACCCTACTGCCTTGTGATTAAACAGGCAACAAATGCCTGCACAGAGACATTTAAATACAAGTCACTGAAATTTAAGAGCCATCTCTAAAAATGTAGAGGCAAAAGCCAACCAGTATATCGGAACTTTTGAACATAATGACATCAAATTCCACAAGCCTTTTGTATTTATTTAGGAGAGCTACTGAATTTGTGTCTTTTGTTCACGTTAATTCACATCATTGCAAAGTCTCCTTTAAGAAATAAAGGAAATAATACCATTTACCTTGATTCAAAAGGCTTCCACTCTGAATACTTGAAAATATTATGGGATGTGAGAAGTTTTTATATTGCTCTCAGTGACTTCTACAGTACAAAGAATAAAATTACAGGGTTTACTTGGGATCTTAGTTGCACTGCCTCTGGAAATAGTGCCACAGCTGTCAATTATGATAAGATCCTTCTCTCTCTTTCTTGCTAGTTACATTTTGCTATATGGAGAAACAAACCTAGTGCTATCATTCTCACCAGCAGGATAATTTATAAGCGAACGACTAGTCTCCCTCTGCCTCAGGATGTCCATTGCCTGACTGGTATTTTTGCAATTTTAGACAATGTCTGTGGCTAGCAAACTGTGAAGAAATGCAAAAGGCAAATCCTATTTAAAAGCATAAGAAAAACTGCTGATACTTACCAAACTATTCCCTGAGCCCCAGAGCCAATAGGTTTCAAGTTCTGGTAGCGTTTGAGAACTGTGAAGGTCGAGTCACCTACTTCCACGCTGTAAAACTGGTTGTCAACTTTGCTTTTGCTCATGTTGTAATGTTTGGCAATATATGACACATCCACTTGTTTCCCAAATCCCTGTTGTACAGAAGAAGGGAGCGGGGGAGGGAGTGGAGAAAACACAGAAACCAAGGCTGGTAAAACATCAGAATACTGATAAAAAAGAGTCAGCCTAATTTTCTAATATAAATTCTTGTCATTTCAAGCTCATTGTCATAGATCTACATGATCCTCAAATACTCTCAAAGACTGCATCAAACCCTCTTTCACCCAGGAAGTAACCACAAAAAGCCACTGATTAAAGAAAGCTAATGAATTCTCCAGCTGATGTTTATGACACAGTTACTCTCATCTACCGGTCTCTGCTTGCCATTCCTGCTGCTTTATGACAACTGCCTTCTGTGTTCGCGTTGATTCTGCCCTCATTTGTATTGCAATAAATATCTTAACACGAGAAGACTTACATCAGTGTGGAAGTGCATCAAGAGACATAGGAATTCGGGTCTTCATCATTGGTCAAATGGAGCAAGTAAGTCTATTCACATGAGCACTAAGGCCTTCCCTGAGCATATGGTAAAGGCCTTGAGTACCTTTTGACAGGAGTTGCAAAAGGAACAGCAGTTTATGAGACGAACTGTGACCTGACATGGCTCAGTATCACGGAGAGTACTCAGTAGCGCTCAGGAGATGTTCCCAAGTTCTGGGTTCCTAAGGATAGAAGAGTTGCTCTCATGACCTGACAAGTACATTAGTCGCAAGCAAGGGTCAATTTTCACGACACAAAGACAAGTTACTGTGAACTTCTTATGCTTGCACTGAATTTAGCGCTGCAGAGCTGTAACCTCACCCAAATTTGTAGAATTTCGATGCAGAAAGTCACACTATAACCATTTTATGACTACTAGTGAGCTCAGTTCCCTGAAGACTATGGAGCAAATTATATAATAATTTGAGAGAAAAATCAGAATTTAGTGTTTGTAATTTAGGATTGTATACTAGTGATGCTAAGCACAGGATACAAGAGTTCAACATACTACAACAGATTGGTCCTCAAGTAATTGACAATTCACTCACGGAAGTCAACACTTTTCCAAATACCTTCTGTAAGGAGAAGCAAAAAACAAACCTGCCTTTTTCTGACAGTGCATTTATTTTCAGTGCTCGCAAATGCAGCTTCTAAATTTTCTTATTTTCTCTCCCCCCCAAAAATGAGTAATCAACTATGTTATGTGTCTATGGACTACTAAGTTGAATTTTGATGGAGCACAGAAAAATGTAAGGTTGATTTGGAGAATGTGTTTTTTTCCAATTTCAAAGGACATCATTTCATTGTTCTACAATGCTGATCATTAAAAACATATATCAGTCCTTGCTGAGAACTTGGATTCTCAGGTTTGCCTTAGGACAATTAAAATTCTTTTTCTGTTTGTAATCTCACCGGAAGGCCCATTGTCACTGGACAGTGTACGTTAATCTTAACCACCGCATTTAGAGACTTTGAAACATTTTAATAAATGCAGCTGTTCATTCAAACAGAAAACCTCATTTCTGAAGAGCAATTAGAAACATTACATTTAATTGTTAATCAGGCACAGGGCAAACCTTTTTTTTGTTGTTGTTTTGCTTTTTTTTCCCCCTCAAATGCAGAAAGTGAGAGATTTGTGGACACTGACATAGTGCTTAATTCAAGCTTACAGAGAGTCTCTGAAAGAGGCTTGAATTTTTCTTATCTGAAGACAGACAGACTGCAACTGATTTGCACTGTGTAGCCTTAGTCTTAAACCTCCTTCCTTTACGTGAAGAGAGATACATAAATTCGTCTGTCTATCTCAGCTATTCGTACCAGACCTGGAATTGAGAGGCTTCATTTTAATAATATGCTCCTGACAGACAGGAAATAATCACTGCTCCCTCTGGCTTGCAGCATGTTTTTTTCTGATGTCATTATCAGAACAATGCAGATGATATTCAGCATTAATACCCATTACTCTGAAACCAATGTTATATAAAGAGTCAGCATAAAAATTAATGTATGCAAGCGCTTCAGTCATTTCAACAGCAATTAAAGTGATGTTGATCAATGGGATGCAGAGGACCACAAACGGTAAGACCTGGTCAGAATAAACAAGTATCCTGATGAGCAGCTGTCTTCTGCGTAACATAGACCATTCTTAAGACAATCTAACTATGTGCGAGTAGGAAAGGTAAAGACTGTTTTATTTTTCATAGAATTTTTTTCTTTTTAGATTAATATTTTTCTCAAAGTCTGTCTACTTAAAAGTCTGTGCACCATAAGAAGCTTTGGTAGAAAATATCAACACTATAAATTACTTATTAAATTCAAGACAGACTTATTTAGTTTGAAGTTCACCCCAAGCAGAATGCCTCCTCTGAGTGACAAACATTTCAGCTTTGTGGACAGGCCAAAGTCTCCAGGTCATCTACTAATTTGTCTCCTCCCTTTAAACCCACACTGCTGAAAAAAAATACAAAAAACCCCCTACTCTTTATATTTTGCTGATTTTTATGAGTCTAAATAAATAAGCAAAATTAAACCACAGTAAGTCTACTACTTAAGCCCAAAGTATTCCTTACTTTTATAAGAACCAGGAAATGAATGATACAACTATCCTTTTCATGATTGTACTTTAAATCAAATCCCTAAATCAATGAATTAACAGTGTTATTGGATAAATAACATTTGATCAGACCCCCAAAGCAAGATGGCACGCAATAAAATCATGAACCATCTCTAAGTTAACCCAACAGTCACTGCCTAAATAAGGAAAGGCCAGTCTTGTGTTATTCTAAAATTAAGATATAAAAAAGCTTTTCCCATCAGCAAGGAAACTTACACTTTTAATAGAGCACATTAATGGTAGCTTTAGTTTCAAACCCTGATTAAAAGGTTCTTCTCAAAAGCTTCAAATGCACTTTGCTGATCCTAAAGAAACCTACACAACACATTTTGGTCTCATTCTGTTACATTATCAGTGCTCACTCAAACACCTTCCAGAAGCCTAGGTGTTTATATAGCAGTTAATATCCCCCTTCCCCAGCCCCCACCATGTAAGCTGTTTCACTGCATAATGCCTACAAGGTCTGCACCAGCACTTACATTAAAGTTTTGATTATCTGGCAGCAGAAAAGAACACAGGGCTAGGAATTTCCAGTATACACCCTTCTGTGTACGCACCTACAACAGAAGCTCTTTCAAATTTGATTGATACTGACATTTTAAGAAACTAGGAATTAGCACTTCATTAAGAATTGGTTGGGCAAAGCAAGGGTATACATACACGTGGCAATCCGGTTTACTTCTTAGGATATCATAGTAAAGATGCATAAGTCTCGTACAGAAAGGGGAATTTCACCGAGTTATTAAATTTTTAGCTAAGCTTCAAATGAACTTGGATAAACTACAATACCAGGGCCCCAAAATAACAGTAAATATTGCAGGCGTGAAACAAAAGCAAATTTCTCCACACTTTTCACTTTGAACAAAACACATCTACCTCTCTGTAATGTGAAAGAAAGTATGCATTGAAGTGCCATTTGTCATTGGTTTCCATAAATATCTGGACAATGGAATTACATTGCTTCAGCACTGACTGGAACTTAACTTTCATTTTACATGTACAAGAACGCACACACCATTATTTTCTCTTTCCAGTATTATCTAATTGAAAACTTCTAACACTCATCCGATTCTATTCTCTTTCCTCCGTACTGAGAAATTTAAGAGTAGAAGTAAAAGTTTTTCAGACCTGAAAACATAGCTATCCTTCCTGGATCACTTAAATGCGTAGCCATATCTGTAATGATTTTTGCTTACTATCCAGCAATTGGGGATGAGTAAAGAAATTGAACTGTCAAGACTCAAGCATTTGAGATGAAGGAAAAAGATACTGTCACCATCACTAAGTGCTCAGAGAACACATATTTTGCTTTCAAAAAACAACTATTTAAAATTTTGGTGAAACTTAAATAACTCACTGCCTCACATACAGCTACAAGTTGTATTCTCTTCCTTTCTTTGTTTCACAGCACAGAGAGCAACAGAGAGCGTTACAAAACATAACAGAAACAAAATGATGTTATTTTCTATATTATGAAGTTAATTCTTTCCTGATATCCCTCTTCATTTGTCCATTTCTACCCCACAAAAGATTTATATTTATTATATTTCACTGAAAGACCTTTCTTTCTGAAGACCATTCATCTTATTATTATGAGCTTAAAACATCACACTTTCTTACAGCTCAGTATCTCATACATCTTAGCTTTTATATATAAATACAAACCATGCTAATGACAGTTTAAGCCAAACTGCTCTCCTTTGCATTTCCAAGGCAACGAGTACTCTCACAGAGTCTGTTAGCAGGCACCAGCTGAGGGGAGACTGCACTTCAGTTGTTCCCTGTCTGCACACAGAAGTACATACAGGAACATACCAACTTCTAAGGCTGCTGTGATTCAGGTCTAGTGAAAAGAATTGGATGAGACTGAATGGTTGACTCCTAATTTGCAGTTGGCACAGTGCCCAAGGATGAGCAGGATGAAGAAGAGAGGATGTTCTGAGCTAGCAATCCCAATGGCTCCCCTGGGGCCCACACTGTCTCCACCTCGTTGCAGACAAAGAGACTGGTGTGGGGGACAGCACATTTCAGAGGTGGATGCTTTCAATTCCCTCAGGATCTGAAATGACAATATCTCAGAAACTTCTTGCCAGCTCCAAAAAATGTGTGCCCTGCCGTCCTGTGTGCATCTGCTAAGTCAACAATGCTATTAATTTAATGGCTACCCTCCCACTTGTACAACTGTAATTTTCTCAGAAGATTCAAGTGCAAGAATTCTGGGATGAACAGTCATCTACTGAACCCTCTGCTTTGGATTTAAGGGTCACAGGTTTTGCTTTGTTAATCTGGATGGCCACAGGAGCTACCACTTGCAAAATACAAAGAATATTTGCACAGAAAAGCTGACTAAATTATTTTTTACTGTGTATTCTGTATATGCCATATTTATGGCAGAAATATTATCTATTTTTCTGATCATAAAGCCAGACTTACTCTGGCTCTCCCTGAACTTAGAAGTCCCTAGGCAGTGATAAAATAGGTTTGTCATCTTTGTGTGTGTTCGGGTGTAAGATTTTTATCTTATCAGCCACATCACACCACAGTTCCCCATTTTTGTAGCTCATTCCAACCCTGTAGGGATTGTATTAGTCACCCAGTCTTCCTGATTTTGGTGTGTTTCGAGTGGTTTGGGGTTTTTTCACAGGTTAATTCTCTACCTTCTTTTAATCTCTCTGCAGCAGTCTTGTCCTACCCCCAGACACAATCCACTCTCCCTTAGGAAGTCAATCTTTCACTTAGCCAACTGACTCTTGCAAATAACTCAACCTTGATCAATTAATCATTGATCTTTTTACTATATTTGCTTTGTTCACTGTATTTTAAAACAGATCTTGTTAGATGGAGTACAATATTCATAAGTACTGGCTGGTTTGGGGGAGGGTTGTTTTTTTTTAAACACACTGTACTTGTTTAACCTCTTCTAACTGAGATGCCAAAAATTATGCAGCTTCAGAACCGGCTCTTACCTAGTTCTGATTACACAAGAAGTAGCATGATGGCCTTCTGTTTCCTTTTCACTGATAAATGCTCAAAACACATATTCTTCACTTGTCCAACACGTGTTCACCGAGCTTTAACTACTTTCAACTGCTTCTTCCTTACAGGTAAGATTTTTTGTAGTTTATTTGTAACCGTGGTATCACAGAATCATGGAATCTTCATGATTGGAAGGGACCTTCAAAATCATCGAGTACAACCATACACACACACACAAAAAAACCCCAACAATCCCGGGCACTAGAGCATGCCCTGAAGTGCCACATCTACACGTTTCTTGAATACCTCCAGGGATGGCGACCCCACCACCTCCCTGGGCAGGCCCTTCCAGTGCCTGACCACCCTCTGAGTAAAGTAATTCTTCCTAAAATCTAATCTAAACCTCCCCTGCCCCAACTTCAGACCATTTCCTCTGCTCCTGTCATTATTCCTTTGGGAGAAGAGGCCAACCCCCACCTCTCTACACCCTCCTTTCAGGGACCTGCCCTTCAGAGGGCAAGGAGGTCTCCCCTCTTACTCAGAAGTCACTGTAACCCAAAAGTGTCTGATTTATTCCAAGCCAGACTACTAAAAGATGAGCAATATGCAAGTATCTACACAACAAAACAACTAGTTCAAAATGATTTCTCATTCCCTTGACACCTGAAAAATTCAACACTGACACACAGGTAACATCCAACCAAAGAAGGTAAGGATGAGAAGACTGATCAAGAAACACTGAGATTCCTTGAGAGTGAGACTTCTTTATGGAAAACAGCTTCAACAGTGATGCAAATGGAAAATGTAGCTAAAAAGACAAGACAAAAAGATTTAAGAGTACATGAGAAAGCTACAGTAAAGATGTTTGGAAACATCTTATTTAGGCACAGCTCCAGAGATGAGAAGCTAGCAAAGATACACTGAGGAATTGTGTCCAAAACAGAGGAAAGCAGCAGCAACAGACACATCTAACTTGCAGAAGAATTGATAAAAGAGAGGAAACACTGCAGTTTGTATTAATCAGTTTGTTCTGTGGCCCTAGATTTGAAAAAAAAGCAATAACATTGGAAGAAGCAAGATACAATTAAGATTAGGGAAGAGAAATGGAATCACTAAAAGTTGGCCAAAACATTGCAACACTAAAAAATGAAAAGTACACTCAATTTATCGACAGTAGTGAAGGGAACATAGAAGTACAGTGTGTTAAGAGCCTAGGAGTGCCAAGATGGGATTACCAGCTCCTCTTTATTTATTGCATATCTTGATAATACAGTATATTTCAAATGGCTTACACTTCTCAGGAAACTGGAATTACACTGAAATGCTGGGTTATTGTTTAAGAAGCTTTCTTCTAGTACACAAGCAGAGCAGCAAGAAGATCGACTACACAAAATACTATGCCCCAATGTACATCATGTCTTCCTTTAAAAAGAAGGGTAAAGAAGAGACATGTAACAACAGTACTCACAAAAAACATTTCTCAATACAATTATATGATCACAGTATTCACTGTGAAGATGCTAATCGTTAATGAAAAGATTCTGTCTTTTATAAGTAAAGAGTATAAGGAGCTAAATAATTTAATCACACCTTTTGTTAGAAATAGACAGATCTTGATAGTATAAAGTACCATTTTAGTCCTAGAAGTCTAAGATCTAGGTCGCTGTTCATTGACGTCTTACAAGTACCAATTAATTTCCCATTGGATAGAAGGCATAATTATAGGACATTCTGCATCAAGAAAAGATTCTTTCTTTATTGGTCAAAGTAGTAACTCCATCCAATTGGAATAAAGCATTAGTTCTCATTGAAGTGGCTTATCAATTTAGGATAAAATTAAAAAACAGACGAAATGAATCAACCAATCGATGGAGAGCAATGCAATTAATAAAGCTGGTCTTTTCTGTGTGAAAAATAAAAAGTTTTCTAAAATCAGTAATTTAAAAATCAATAATTATTTTTAAACAGTCACTGATGTAATATTGGATCTAGGAAGTCTATACAAGTTTTGTTCAAGATAGGTAACCATGACTGTGAAAACAAAGCAAGTTAGCAGAATACAGTGGAAAAAAGATGTTAAGAGAATTTAAAGCTTTTAAAATCTTTTTGGTTTGGGTTTTTTTAAAAGCACAAATTGAGTAGAAGTTCCCAAAAATTCCCTCAACATGCAAACTAAAATTTCATTCTAAGGTTTTCTTTCAGTGGCATCAATTTCAATCTGCAAAAATGCTGACATACTCCATCTGGGATATGAAAGGAGAATAGATCTGAAGACCTTGAAGAGTTATTTGTGCAGTAAGTGCTTGAAGAATAGGAACCCATTTCCTGCAATGTCAGGATAGTATCTCTTGTATGCATTTATGGGATGACTCCTCTTCAGGTACTTGCTGTTGGTTTTAAACATGAACCATTTCCATTCAGTAATAAAAATTCATCCAAAATTGTTGATTTTATCAATATATGCTTTAACAGAAACATTGTAAATAGACTTGGTTCGGTATGTGCCTCTGAACAGCTTTAATTAAGTTAGGGTAACAGCAAAGGAATAATTACAGTGGTATTTTACCACTAAATCAAGAACTCTGAGTGTAGTGCCAGAAAGCATTGGCTATACATGGTCACGCACAGATTGATGCCAAGACTAAAGAGGCACTATACACACAAAGAAGTGATTAAGAGTACCTTGCCTCTGTGAAACAGAGATGTTTCTATACAGTTCTGCTCTGGGTAAGTAAAAGGGAGAGGAAAGCTGGCAAGCAGAGCTATGCAGAAAACTCCATTCCGCACAGTAAAAGTAACTTTTTCAACAATAACATCTTTTTCAAACAACTTGAAGAAATATCTTTTTTGCAATTTTTTCAATCTTTTTAAAGTTTTTTTTTTGCAAGTGAACTCTGTCAAAGAAATTACAAAAATACTATGTTTGACAAAATCCTTTCTTGTCTAAAAAAGAGTGGAAGAATCAAGTCAGTTAGACAAATATATGCACATGAAGAACGGGAGATATAAAAGAACAGAGAAGACAGTTAAATTACCAAACTGAATAGTGGAGATGATGATGATGAGCTAATGATTTACTAAGGACAGAGCCAATGTTCTCAGCAGAAAAAATATGTGGTGCTCCCGAGTTAAAAAAATACAAAACAAGCCTCCCAACACTCATTACTGTGTTAATTGCTTACATACAAGTTATAGCCCTTTCTTTTCTGGAATTGTACTTTCACTTACTTGTACTCCATAAGTAATATAAAGGAGAAATCCCCTAGTGTTTACCATAATTCCATTTCTAAGAATGCTGCATTGTTCTCACCCCTCAAAAAAATGAAGAATGTCCCTAATGTCACCCCAGCTAGTTAGATTACTCGTGTCTCATCTCACCAAAAGAATTATGAAGAGACAGAATTCAAACACAAAACACTGTTCAGAAGTAAGCAAAAAAAGTCATCTTTCATTCATGATGGAAAAACATGCACACAGATTTGTGACACAGATATATACTTATGTTAACTAAATTAATCTAACCAAGAGAACCAAAACCTGGAAAAATCAATACACTTTTTTCTTTGTATTACAAAATTACTTTCACCCTTGTAGACTTCCAAGCATTGTGCCCAAACAATTTCAAGGGTAATTTAGAAATACCAAATTGGCTCTAGTGCAGTCTCATGACTCTAGAATCTGCACAGTATGTGGTGTTCAACTGGAGGCAAGGCAAACTCCAAGATTTTAATTACTCTCCCTTCACTTCTCCTTTCACATCATTAAGTTTATTGGAAGTGCAGCCAACATTTTTTCCGTTTGCAAACTCCGCTATTATTTCTACCTACAGAAAACCTCAGATCATTACCTGACGTTTTAGCAGAACAAAATTAAGATCATTAATAGCAAAATACAAAATAAACTTCAAAATAAACAGAAAAGTATTTTTTGTGATGCATTCTTTTATTTTTTATATTTATTCTCATTCTCATAACCAGTTACTCGCAGTAAGCTGCTGAAATTCACTTCTATTTTTTCATTTGTTATGGCATGAACTGCAAAAATGAAGTACAAGTATATACTGTACCTTGTTTTACCTGTAAGGAACACACACCTGACAAAAGGCAATCTTCACATCCAGAGCAGGTTCACCACAATAATACAGGAAATGGCGGCTCATAAATACCTGCAATTAAAGAAAAGTAAAAATAGAAATCTTGTATGTCTGCTGATGTGCAAATACAATGCAGGTCTATCTACATTTGGATTATAAAACCAGCCTGAGTTGCTACCCAGCTCATGGACAACAGAAATCACTTAGAACATTGAACTCTAAATAGGCTCTAAATTCTTTCTGATGCTTGTCAAGGTTGTGGCCTCAAATATGATGTGGCTACATCTGCAAAATTTTACTGTAACCAATGCCATTTCCTCAAAGTTTATCATGTCACTTGTGTATTCCTACATCAACAAAAATAAAAATCAGCTCAATAATGTTCTAAACAATATGTGAATGGGAGACAGTTGTTATTATGGGGAAGAAAAAAAAAAGTCCTACGGAAAGTTATAGAAATTGAAAGACTAATTATGTCACTTTATAAATTCATGGCACAACCATTTTACGAAGGTAGTTCTGGCTTTCGTCTTAACATTTTACAACTAGAAAAGTTACAGAAAAGGGTGGTAAGAAGGGTCCAAAACATGTATAGATTCCTCATATGAAGCAACTGCAGAGACTGAGAAATTTTTTAGCCTGGAAAAGAGCTGTCCAAGTGGAGATACGCTGGAGATCCATCAAATGAGTGGCATACCAAGAAGTGAAAAGGAAAACACTCTTCACTGATTTTTTTAAAATAAAAGAGGTACATGGTATCAAACGACAGATTCAGAATCAACAATAAGAGACAATTCTTGTATGAAGAATTCTTTCATCGGACTGTAAAACTTCCTGCCTCATGTTGCTGTGGATGTTGGAAGTCCATGTAAGCCCTAGTATGATTAGAATAATTCACATATGAAGGAATCTGCTGATGGCTATTAACTTCAAAAATATCACCTCTGACTCAAGACAACTCTGAGTCCCACACTACCACTATATGCTCATCCTATTTTTAGATTCTTTTGCAGGCACCTGATACTGCTGAAGGGAGCCACACACTAGACTAGACATCTGTTTTAACTTAATTCAGCTCTGAGTAACCAATCCTTTCCTAGCTGGATTCTAGTATGGGACATCAGTGTAAAAAACACACAGTAAAGCTCTCAGGCTGAAATAGGTAGCTACATCAAAAGACTTTGGAGCACATTGATTTTTGCTGCATAACTCCATTTAAAAAAAAAAAAGAAAAAAACTTTTAACAGTACAATTAAAAAATCAGCAATTTTTAGGTAAAAAGTGATAAATAATATAGAACTTTGTGATTTTCTTTTAAATATAAGCTCACTGCAAGGACTTACCAATGAATAAAACCACAACCATCACTCCATTAAGATACAGCCATGATTCTGAAACACTATGTGCCTCCTTGCGAAACTTGTTTTCAATAGGGACAATTAAATAACTTCAGGGGAATATGCCACTAATAAGACAAGACTTAATTTGAAGTAGTTTAATCTCATACAAACTGATCAGGGCTTAAGAAACTGTAAGAAAGTATTCACTAATACGTACCAACTTGAATGCATCATTTGTTCGCACATGTGTTTAATTTTTAATGAATGAATGAATAATCCTGTTGTGAAAGCAAGCGCATGACCTTTTCTGCATCATATTACACTGTCTGAGATTGCTGCCTCATTGCCCAGTGAGTCATTACCAGAGCCTCACATTCCATGGAGGGGTTATATTAAAACAAGGAGAAAGAAAGAAACAAAAAAAGCTTTTAATATTAGTCATATTGCCGGTGATTTCTGGAAAGCCAGCAGACAATTACACTCTCACGCTGCAGATATATACACTATGAAATCCTACTGGCTGGATACATTATATTGCTATAATAATCAATGCCTGAAATGCCATTAGTCATAACACATGACATTCAAGACAGAGTCTAATAGCAGAAAGTGAAGAAAGGAAGGGAAGGGAATTGAGGAAATTTGGTTCCCCACTGAATTTGCTGCAAGAACCTACTAAGAAGACACACTTTGTATTATATATGCATTACTAGACATACACAGCTCCTCAGCTTTCCACAGGAGTGACTATAACTGTTAATAGTCACCCTGGGCAGAGCAATAGACTGGTGAATTTTATGAACTGGAATACATTTTACAATTTATTAGGTTGTCCTTCTATGCAGTTACTGCTTATAAAATAATAGAAGCATGATACTCTTTAATAGCCTAGATCAATACTCATATTCCTCTGCACATGAGTTATATCAAATGAATCACTGCAGAGCTGAGATCCTCCAGTTGTACACCAGGAATGAGAACACCTTTCTGTAGCACAGAGGTCTGTAAGACTGTACACCCAGGGTAAAACAGATTTGAGTTCATGCTTTATGTAGTGTGTGTCTTCCTATATTGAATTCACAAGGGATTCTCTTCAGTCCCCTGTAAGTAATCACACATGTATGTAATTTCTAATTTCTTCATGCAGGAAATACATTCACAGGCAACTTCGTAAATCCCTTTGATCGCACCTCCCGTGGTGCTGGCTGACACTGCATCACTAGAGACATTGAAGAAGTGTTGGTATAAAACGAATAAAGAACGGGTCTGATGCTGAGATAATTGTGTCACAACATAAAGCAGTTATAAAACAAGAAGCTACAGACAAATGACATCACTCACTAGGGATCTGAGCTTTAGGCAAGAGTGGAAGTGTCCAATATTTCTTTACCTTACTTCTGACACTTTATCTTTTCAACCTTGAGCAAAATCACCCAGGGTGGGAAGAACTGTGAGAACGGACCAGTGGGATACAACAAAACACCTTGTAATAACCCAGGCCGGCATCCAGCTGGGAAGCCAGAGACTGCAGTAGCATCACAGGGAGCAAACCTGTCTACAAAACAGAATTTTCATCAGGATCAAGGCATCTCTATGCCAGAACCTGTGAAAACGTGCAAGTCACAGCAGCAAACACATGATCTACTTTGAGGCAAGACAAAACGAGGAGGTGTTAAAACAGGAGGAGAAAAGTAGACATGAAGGCAAAAGTAAGATAATCTTGAATGTCCTCTGAGCTGCTCAGTGGCACAGCCCCCAGGTGAAGTGCTGCCTGGGACTAGGAAGATGCCACTGAGGGTTGGCCTCTGCCTGGTGTGCTGCTTTGCCATCCTCTTCTTGGCTCCACTCCTCTCCTTCTTTATCAACAGCTACTCTTCCAAACAGAACGTGGGCTAACAACATGCCCCAGTCTCAAGCCTGAACATCCCCTTCCCTTCAGTGCTGTCTTTTCTGGAGAAGGACTGTTTGTTTTTACTAACGCTGAACTTTCTCTCCAGGGGTCGGGAGGATTATCTCACTATTATTCAAACAGCCCTTTGAAGACTGAAAGGATTAAATCAATAATATCAGTATAATTTTTAAGAGCAGAGAGGAAACCATGCAATGACAATAGATAAAGCAGAAAACCAACCGTAACTGTAGTTCTCAAATACAGCCTTCTGCAGTAAGTCTTTCTGCTTGTCCTTGAGTTCTCTCCTCACCCTCCAAACCATACTATTTTGGTATAAGCAAACGTCCAGACAATTTGGCAACCAGTCTTTTGGTGTAGGGAGCCTTGTTTTCCTTCTCAGACTGCACTATTGTTCACACAACTGGCTTCTGGATCATGACCGAAGAGCCTATGTTTAAAATAGATGCAAACTCTGAGACTGAGGGGCCTGAACTGGTGCTGTACTGGTCTGAGGAGAGTCTCAGCACTTGCACCCACCAAGTTGCCTCTAAGCTGCTTCTCCAGCTGACACTTAACAAGATCTCTTGGCTGGAGAAAGCATCACAGTCACTTTCTTCTCAGAAAGTATCTCCATGATGGTTTCTCATCACTATGGCTTCTAATCAACTGGCAAATCCCTCATGCCCAATGGATATTGCCTTGGCCTGTCAAAGCACATTTAAAGCTTTTTTGTGACAATTCAGGAAAAAAATGCGGAGCCTCAGGGAAGTTCCATATAACTTTATAATTGAGAGAGACAAAGGACCCAACTGTCCTGCTGCAATATGGCTCTCTTCATCACAACCTAGGCAGGTAGGACTCTTCACCTTACCCCACAGCAACAGCATCTGTGTCAAACAGAAACAAGATTCTTGATGAGAAAAGCTGCAGCAGCTGTTTGACATGTAGTTAAACCAGTGTTGCTGCAGCTGAAATAAATTAAGTCCCAGACTAGCCCTGGTGCTGCTCTCACCACCTCCCACGCTCCCGAGGCTGGACTCTGAGAGGAATTTACATGTCCTACAATAAAACAAATTAGAAACTAATCCTTCAAATCCTAACCTAAAAATATCCCTGTGTGAAAAAAAAATAAAATTATTAAACAGTACGAGTTGCAATTTAAACAGAAATCAGAAAGCAGCTGAAGATATCATAGACAGAACTACTTGTATCTAAAACATCACTAGATACAGACCTGGCAGAGTGTGGCTGCAAACTGGAAAGTTTTAACAGAATCACAGTACATCCCCCAGTTACGTGCTATGATCTATTCCCAGTCCCATGCAGTGTGATGAACTCAATAATAAGGGGAAACCGTACATATTCATATCAAGAGCTAAATCCAGCCTTTCTGCTTATTTGGTATTGCCATCCAAATACACCACATGTGTACAACAGGTACAGTGAATGGGCTCTCTGTCTTCACAGGCATGTAGCTCTATACTTGTGCTATAAAAGGCTAATGGAAGTATTTATTTCTGCCTCATTATATTTTATTCAGGAAACATTCAGAGCATGAAAAAAATTAATGAGATAGCACAATGATTTAAAGTTATTTAAAAAAAAATAATCCTGCCCCACTTCAGAGGGTAATTTATGAATTCAGATGTCACTTAAAAACCTTCTTGTAATACATTAATGTTCAAAGATTAACATTTATGAATTATTAATGCATCCTGTTTTGAAAATGGGTTTGAATCATTCCATGGATTTCCAGTACTGGAATTCCTCTCTCCTTCATCCGAAAATATATACTCTCATCACAGTAGCTTATCAGTTCTCTGAAGCCTTGAGTAATGCTC